ATGAGGTGGGAAGGTGGGAAGGAGCCAGCCTTAGGAAGAGTTGTTTAATGTTTGGGTACCAGGTTAAGAGCTGTTTGTGCTTTGCTCATCCTATGTCCCAGCCTAGCTTGGTCCTTGGACATCGTTGCTGTGCTATATTATTTGTTGAATTAAGAGGGTTGTGATGAGATTCTCATGAGGCATTGGGGTGAGTTGCTGGTCAGACATCCTATATAAAAAAAGGGTAATATGCAAATTGACCAAATGGCAGAACAACCAAACAACCAATCAAAGCATAATATGCCAATGATATGATAAGGCTGCTCAACCATTCGCTATGACGTGCACTGACCACCAGGGGACAGGAGCTCGGACCAGTACGTTAGCTTGCTGCTGGGGTCTGGCCAATCAGGGTTGAGCGAGACAGGCCAAACATGCTCTGGAGTCTTCCTGCGGTCCCTCCCCAGCTGGCCACCTCCTACGTCCCTCCCTGGCCCTGATCGTGCACCAGTGGGGTCCCTCGGCCTGGCCTGTGCCCTCTTGCAATCCAGGACCCCTCAGGGAATGTCGGAGAGCCGGTTTCAGCGAGATCCTGCAGGCCACTCCCCTTGAGAAGGCACCAAACATAGTATGCATGGCTGGCAAGCGCTGCTGTGGCAGCAGGAGCCTCTCCCAATAGGGACTGATTGGGTGTGAGCCTGTGGCAGGCACAGAGGGGAGAGGATGAGCGGGAGTGGCAGGTAGGAGCTGCAGGCAGCGTTGGACTGTGGGTTTCAGGCCAATCCCTGCAGAATACCCAGAGGGACCCCACCGTGCACCAATTCCTGCACCAGGCCTCTAGTGGGATTATAAGTGAGGATTCCCCTGAATAGAGGGAGGCTCTGTCTGTGCTTAGAAGGGCACATTATTGTCTCTGGGGTTTGTTTCCCTGTCTTCAAGGTGCTCTGCCATCTCCCACCCTCTCCCCGCTGCCCGCTGCTTGGCAGCTCTGCCCACTTGAGCATGTTTTATTACTTCTCTCTCTTTTCCAGACACAGCAAACTGGTCAACAAGCTCTCAGGCACTTTGAGCAGCTTCCTGAGCGACACTGTGTCCTCCC